AGATCTGACTATATGCTGTCTATGACAGAGATACTAGATTTAAAGATGTAAATATGTTGAAAATGAATGGAAAAAGAACATATGAACAACAGCCATAAGAAAACTGAAGTTACTATACTAATACCATTAAAAAATAGATTTTAAAGCAAACAAAATGTCACTAGAAATAAAGAAGGAGCTTTTAAAATGATAAAAGTGTCAATCAAGATGATGTAGTAATTATGAACATACATGTCCTTAAAAACAGAGTTACAAAAATATCTGAAGCAATATCTAACATGATCAAAAAGAGAAGCTCAACAATAATTGTTGGAAATTTCAAAACCCCACTTTTAAAAATGGATACAAGAACTAGGCAGAAGATCAAAAAAGAAATAGATGACTGGAAAAATGCTATGTAGAAGACCTCAGTACAAAAATCTCCAAAATATTACAGAAAGAAACATTTAAAAAATTATTTAAATGGAGGGGACTACCATGTTTACAGATTGGAAGACTCAATTTTTAAAAGTTCTTTATTCTATCAAATTAAGCTATATGTTTATCACAGTCCTAGAATAAAACCTAACATATTATTTGTAGAAGTTGAGAAATTGATCCTAAAATTTATATGGAAATCCAAAGGATGTAGAATAAATAAAACACTCTTGGAAAAGAAGAACAAAATTGGAGGACTTTACTACCTAAAGTCAAGATGTACCTTAAAGCTACATTGATTATGGTAGTGTGGTAACTGAAAAAAGAAAAACCAATCATTACAGAATAAAAAGTCCAGTAATAGATCCACACATACATGGCCAACTTGTTTTTGACAAAGGCACCAATAAAAATCAATAATGAAAGTCTTTTTAACAAATAATGGTGGAACAATTGGGCAAACAAATCAGAGGAAAAATGAACTTTAATCCCTACTTCATGTCACAACCAATCATTTTTAAAGTTCTTGAAGAAAACCAAATGAAGTATCTTCATGACCATAGGTTTGGCACCAACGACTTAGACAGGAATCATAAAGAAATCACAATTAAAAAATAATAAATTGGCTGGGTGCGGTGGCTCATGCCTACAATCCCAGGACTTTGGGAGGCCAAGGCAGGCAGATCACAAAGTCAGGAGATCAAGACCACCCTGGCCAACATGGTAAAATCCTGTCTCTACTAACAATGCAAAAACTTAGCTGGGTGTGGTGACACATTCCTGTAATCCCAGTTACTTGGGAGGCTGAGGCAGGAGAATCACTTCAACTAGGGAGTCGGAGGTTGCAGTGAGCCAAGATCACACCATTGCACTCCAGCCTGGGCAACAGAGCGAGACTCCATCTCAAAAGAAATAATAATAATAATAAACAAGTTGTTCTTCAAGTGAATTAAATTTCTGCTTATCAAAAGACACCATTAAGAGGCCAGGCTTGTTGGCTCGTGCCTGTAATCCTAGTGCCTTGGGAGGCCAAGGCCAAAAAACCATGTCTCTACTAAAAATACAAAAATTAGCCAGGCATGGTGGCATTACACCATGTAATTACACCTGTAATTCCAGCTACTTGGGAGGCTGAAGCAGGAGAATCACTTGAACCCTGGGCAACAACACTGTCTCAAAAAAAAGAAAGACACCATTAAGAAAATTAAAAGATAAGTTACATACTGAAAGAAAATATTCACAATGCCTATTTTTGACAAATAATTCTTACCTAAAATATATGAAGAATTCTTACTACTACATAACACAAATATAAGCAGTCCAACATAAAAAAATAAAGCAAAGATTGGAATAGGATCATGAAGATATATGATTAGCCAATAAGCACATGAAAATGTTCTAACTATCGATAGTCAGGGAGATTTAAATTAAAATCATAATAAGATATTACTATGACCAGCAGGACTAAAATTTTAATTTAAAACCTAGCATTGGTGGAGATATTGAGCACTTGGAACTCCTGTATCTTGCTAGGGAGAGTGCAAAATGGACAGCACCATACCATAGTGGAAATTATGGAACTCTTTAAAGGCAAAACATAAATCAAAGATTTTCACATACAGTCCCTTATTGCAGCATTATTTGGTATGATAAAGACTGGAAAATCCAAATGTTTCACAATGGAGGACTGTTAGATAAAATGTATGATATATCTCTATAAAGATTTGATAAAGTTTTTTTAATGGTGGAATTGTTTATGAAATAAATGTTATTAGAAAAATCAGAATATGAAACTATCTTTATTGGATTAAAAATCATCCTGGAAGGGGCCAAGTGTGGTGGCTTACACCTGTAATCCCAGCTCTTTGGGAGGCCGAGACAGGTGGATCACTTGAGGTCAGGGATTCGAGACCAGCCTGGCCAATATGGTGAACCCTTGTCTCTACTAAAAATATAAAAATTAGCCAGGCTTGGTGGCACATGCCTGTAATCCCAGCTACTTGGGAGGCTGAGGCAGGAGAATTGGTTGAGACCCAGGAGGAGGAGGTTGCAGCGAGCCAAGATGGGCACCACTGCATTTCAGCCTGGGGGACAGAGTGATACTCTGTCTCAAGGAAAAAAAAAAAAGGAAGGAAGGAAAAAGCCAAAATTATTATTAAATTATATATTTTTAATCCCCCATCACTTTTCTGTATCTTCCAAGTTTTCTAGAGGGACAAAGCATTACTTCTATAGTCCCAAAAATGTTTATTTTTAAATAATGATTGTTTTGAATAACTATATAGTATTTAATGATGATGGCTATAAAACTACTTTGGGTTTTGACATTGTAAATTGGTACATGGAAGTAGTTTTATTATTATTGTTAGATCCATATTCAGTTTAGTTCCTACCTTCATCAGGAAAGTAGGTGAATTCAGAAGGAACTAGGAAAAACAACAGAATCAATAGAAGTACAGAAATAGAAAAGATGGTATTTTCCAGATAAATGAATTTAACTCTTTAACCACCAAATTTTGTATTTTAAAATTTTGATGAAACTCTTTCTAACATGTACATCATACTTTCTTACTTACTATCTATATTATAGTGACAAAATTCCATCCTACCTCCTAGTCGTTTAACTTTGGGGAATTGATGCAATCACCTGTGTTTCTCTTATCTGTATGATGGGGTTAATATTATAATCCCTTCTCGTTGTATTGGTAGGTGTGAAAAAATGTATATAAAGTATTTAGCAGAGAATTACAAAATAATAGACATTTGTTTCTGTTAGTACTATTACTACAAAGAATGTGTGACACAGTAGGCATTCAATAAATTTGATTCACTGACTTGACTTATAGTGATGTCTTTAAAAGCCTCTCAGAGATCTGTTAAAACCCTCACCTCTGTTAAATGGTCCCAGATTAACTCACTCACTAGTCATTATAGTTCCTTTCTCTGCCCATTCTTTGACTGTTGTTCCACTTTACTTTTCTTAATGTTTCCAGTTCTCCTCCTGTTTATAACCTGCTGTTTCTAATTTGCTGTCAGATAACACAGCCTGTTTAAGTCAGTACATATTCAAGGAGTTCCTGGAATACTCTTATAGCAACTCTGTGGATTAACATTTATTGCTTATTTAGCAAAACGTTTTCCTATCTAATTTTTATATCTAAGGTTAAGACTGTTCAAGATAGTTTAGTTTGATGAATGCCTATTTCCAGGTTAATGGTAATATTTATATCAGTAAATATTATGTGTACTATGTTATAAAACAGAAATTTTAAATTGGATGAGCATTAAATTGGAAGTCTTGAAAATGTTCAGTGAAGAAATAGAGCAAACACTTAGGCTTTTCAGTTGGTATTCAGAGCTCTATAAGTAATTGAAATCTGAGTGCAGAATAATATAGTATGTAAAAATGTGAGTTCCGTGTCCTGGTCAAGCTCTGTTATTGACTTAATTCTGTGACTTTGAATAAATAGCTTAAACTCTTTGAACTTACAGTTTCTCACTTATAAACACAAGAGTTGGGTTAGGTTGTCACAAGGCACCTTTCAGTTCCAAAATTCTGTGATTTTTATGGACCTACAGCAAGCTTATTGCTTCAAATTGTATAAAGAAGAGGGTGCTGGGAAGGAATAGGAACAAAGATTATTGTGGTCGTTGAAAATAGCTCTCAAGTGCTTCTGAGCATGGAGACAGATTAAAATAGAAACTATGAATATTTATTTCACAAAGGAAAAAGTGTGAGACTTTCCAACAAAGGAAGAAAAACCATAATGAAGAACATTTTACAAATGCCATAAAAATACAGATTGGCGAGTAGAGAGAATTATAAAGTGTTTATTAATCCATTGTGTCTATTGTATTTGTCAGAAAAGTGGCAGAATAAAAATTAAGAAATATTAGAAATAAGAGAAAAATATAGTGCTTATTATAAGGAATTTGATATTATTAAACAAAATACAGTACATAATATACAATACTATATTTTATAAATATACAATTTAGAATTTGTAGCAATTTTTAAAGCTCTTTTAAAAGCCAATAACCATATATCTCCTGACAGGAGATTAGGTATTTGATTAGGCATTTTTAAAATTCCTTCTAATTCTTATTATTTATGATCTACTTTCAAATGAAATTCGGTCATTTATTAAAGTAGCTATTTCTTATAAAAATAATAAAAAGGGATTTTATATCTTTGTACCATCCATGTTTAAATACTCGTGTATGTCAATCAGTTACTGTGTCTTATTTTTTCCTGTATCACTTGTTTAAACAAATTTTCAGAATAGGCCAGGCATGGTGGCACACGCCTGTAATCCCAACACTTTGGGAAGCTGACTTGGGAGGATTGCTTGAGCCCAGGAGTTCAAGACCAGCCTGGGCAACATAGTGAGACCCTGTCTCTGTAAAAAAGAAAAAAAATTAATAAAAGTATTTTTTAAAAATCAGAATAATTGACATAGCTTGAACATGGTAAAGTAGTTTTCATATTTTAAAAAGCCTTTAAACTTATAGGAATTAAGAAATAAGAATAACCTACAAAATGCTAGCAAAATTTATCTCATTTTATTTCATTGTATTTTCAGGTTTAACTGAACTAAGTGACAGTCCAGTTCCCCTAGAACTTGAGCGCTGCAAGTCTCCTACCTCAGGTAAACGTGAGTGGCATTTTTCAGGCTTCTGGTAATTCACTGCAGTAATCTATTGCTTTTATTCATGATCCTTATAATGTGAAATTTATAATTTTAGTAATTAGGTATAATTCCATTTATTAAATTTACTGTAAGCAAATTTGATTTTAAATATCAAATGCAAATAAATGTCTTTTAAAATATGTTTATCTCAAAATAAAATTAAGATCAGAAGTATAAGTGCAACACTTTAAAAGACATTTTAAAGGAAATTTATTTTGCAGATACATTAATAACACTAAGTATCAAATAAAAATTGATAATATACAGAAACTTGTCATCTTCTGGCTAGATGTGAATTAATGGGAAATAGACAGTATATATGCAGGAGCAAATAATACCATTCCTCTGGACCACAGTTTGGAAACATGTATATTTATTGACAAAGAAAAATGATAATAGAATATGTTATGAAGCAGAACATCAAGACAAAGTTGCACCCATTAAAATACATTTAAAATGTGAGAAGAAAAGTTTCTAGGGATAAATTATTAAGGTACTGTATGTTAAAAAAAAATTAACAGTAATTTTTGGGTGGTAAGATTATGAGTGGTTTGCCTGTTTTTTTAAGTTTTTATGTATTGATAATTCTGATTTTTATATAATGTGTATATAGTTCTGTGTAAGTATGTAACCATTAGATCTGCTTTTACAGAGTAACAAGAAATCGTAGTTCCTTTTTATTTACATTATTTTAATTTGAACTTTGTACAAATTTATCAAAGTTTAATAATACCATTATAAAGTAATGAATTTTGACTTGTAGAAATTAATTTAGAATTGTAGCATTTCTTCAATTTATTCCATCTCTGAAAAGTTGTTAGTTTTTTATTCTTATTCGTCAGGAATCTAGGCTATATATAATCTAGATAAATCCTATGTAAATTTTTCTTTGGTCATAAATTTTTAATGCTTATTCTATTGGTTTTATTGTAAAGATTTTCTTATTTGTTTACCCTTCCTTTTGCATACTCATTGACACCAGCCTAATTTAGGTATTTATTGCTCCATACCTATGGTATTGTACAAATATTCTAGCAGGTGTCTGTACTTCCTCTCTCTCCCTCTTACGAATAATTTTGCATGTCATGGTGTAAAATTAATATTTTTAAAATATTACTTTGATCACATTTTCCCATAGTTATAAAACTTCAGTATCCTAAATCAAAGTTACATAACCTAACTTTAAATTCTGTCATAGCTGGCCAGGCACAGTGGCTCATGCCTGTAAGTAATCCCAGCACTTTGGGAGTCCAAGGAGGGAGGATCACTTGAGACCAGGAGTTTAGAGACCAGCCTGGGCAACATAGCAAGACCTGTCTCTTTAAACATAATAATAATAATTTTTTTTAAATTTTAAAGATCATTGTAGCTGTTCTACCTTTCATGTATTTTCATATAACTTTAGAAAAGATTTGTCAGTTCACACACAAATGCTTAGATTTTGATTACAATTTCATTGGATATATAGCTCAACTGGGCAGAATTAACATATTCAAAAATATTAAATTTTTCATTTAGTATATCTCTATTTGTGTGTCTACTTTCTCCCCACAATATTTTTGGGGTTTTTTGTAGAGGTCTCGCACATCTTTCATTGAATTTATTCCTTTGTGTTTGTTTTTTTTCTATTATTGTGGTTTTTTTATTTCCTTTTCTAATTGTGGTTAGAATATGAAAATACACTAATATTTGTATATTGAGCTTGCACCTAGAAAACTTGCTAAATCTATTTCTTAATTCTTGTAGTTTGTAAAACTTTTTGGATTATCTGTGTATCCAAGAACTCCCCTTGTGAAAATGAAAGCTCCATTTTCTCCTTCTAAAGGAAGAAAGTGGCTAGGGCCTTCAATACAATGTTGAATAGATGTATAAGTAGACATTTTTTTCTTGTGCCCAGTCTCACTGATAAGGCTTTCAATAATTCATAATTAATAATTATAATTGCTGTAAGTTTTTGGTAAACTTGCTGTTTTTAGCCCTCTACATATGATGTTTCTTCTTTTGTTAATGTTACAGCAGAGTTAGAAACACCACCACAACCACTACACTTAATTTTTAATTTCCAAGCAGACTCAGAAAATGTACATGCAATTAAGTGGACTGTTTCAAAGCAGGAAAATTTTGACTCTTTTTGTATTATGTTACTTGGAGAAATGATGGATTGTGATAAGATTCATTTGTCACTTCAATACTTTGCTTGATACTGGCCTACTGAGCGGATCCCACTCATCTTTAGTAGCAACTTTAAATTATAAGTATTCATAATTAAGGAATGAGAGATTTTTTTCCTTATAACAGATTTGTAATCATTAAATGTTATATTTGTTAAACCATGTGCAATGCATCCTTCTGGGAAAAGTGCTAATGGAGTTTACTACATAAGAATATTGGAAATCATTACAATATTTGCTGATTTAATTCATTTTCCATCAAAGAGAATGATAATTGTGTTATATTAGAGGGTCATTTAAAGGACAATGTGCTCATTATTATTTCCAAAATAGAAATACAATACATATACAATAGCCACAGATGTACCTAAAACTACATTCTACAATCTCTTGCTGTTGTTGTAGGAATTGCTGCATCCAATCTTGATTATCAGAAAAGATATGGTTTGGGTGAATGCAGAATTTTAGCCCAATTACATAAAACTAAAACATAACTATGAAATAAGCAAATTTAATACTTTAACAGCAGAGTTTACAAAACTAATGAAATGTATTGTCTCTAGAGGTAGAAAAGAATGAAAATATAATGAAAGTGTTTTGATAACATTTTAGAATCAATAGGAGTTATTAAGGGAAACTAGAAAGGTTGTAATACAGTCTAACTTTTGAGAAATTAAGAAAAGCAACCATGCCCTCCTAATAATAATATCCTTGATTTATACCCTCAAAAATAGTTAATGAAGTCTAACAATGACCATCATTATGTTTGTATCTGAGTATATCTCCCTTAAAAAAAATTATACATAGCATTTAAGAGCCGATACTATTCTTGCCTTTTCTCTCTTCCTTTTTTTTTTTGAGACGGAGTCTCGCAGTGTCACCCAGGCTGCAGTGCAGTAGCATGATCTTGGCTCACTGCAACCTCCGCCTCCCAGGTTCAAGCTATTCTCCTGCCTCAGCCTTCCAAGTAGCGGGGACTACAGGTGGGCACCACCACATCCAGCTAATTTTTGTATTTTTAGTAGAGACGGGATTTCACCACGTTGACCAGGATAATCTCAATCTCTTGACCTCATGATCTGCCCGCCTCACCCTCCCAAAGTGCTGGGATTACAGGCGTGAACCACCGTGCTTAGCCTTTTTAATAATGGCCATTCTGACTGGTTTAAGATGGTATCTTAATGTGGTTTTGATTTGCATTTCTTTAATGATTAATTAATGATGTTGAGCATTTTTTCATATGTTTGTTGGCTGCTTGTGTCTTCTTTTGAGAAGTGTCTGTTCATGTCTTTTTGTCTACTTCTTAATGGAGAATTTGTTTGTGCTTGTTGAATTGTTTGATTTTCTTATAGATTCTGGATATTATAACTTAATTGGATGTGTAGGTTATGAATATTTTCTCCCATTCTGTAGTTTGTCTGTCCACTCTATTGATTGTTTCTCTTGCTGCGTGGAAGCCCTTTAGTTTAATTAGGTCCTGCTCATCAATTTTTGTTTTTGTTGCAATTGTTTTTGAGGATTTAAGTCATAAATTCTTTTTCAAGGCCAGTGTCCACAATGGTGTTTCCTAGGTTTTCTTCTAGGCTTCTTGTTGTTTGAGGTCTTACATTAAAATATTTAACCAATCTCCAGTTCATTTTTGTATGTGGTGAAAAGTTATAACTATGATTTTCTATGTGGATCTCAAAACTTCCTTATACCCCAGTGAACTACTAGTAAAATAGAGTGAGGGTTCAGACTTAAACATTTCCTTGAGAATAATGCAGAAGAAAAGAGTAGATACTGGAGCTGGAAGAATCCGTTGAGTCAAATGGAATGCCAGTGTTCTCAGTTTCCAAGATAATATAAAGCTTTATATTATCTATTAATTCACTCAACTATACATCAAACAATTTCCAGTTTCTACAGCCAGATATTATGCTATCCACTGAGGATAAACTAATGAACAAAATAAACATACTTCAAATGAAGAAATAAACATTAAACCTTAACTATATAAATTATTCATACTTTTTTAAAGGCTCTACAACTTTTTTCACTCACCAACTTGTACTGTACAAATTCACCTCCCAAGAAGGTAAGTGCTAACAATCAGCCGTAGCTTCACTTACCTGGTACAGGACTACAATCTCTTAAAGAAAACAGATCCTTCTTATTTGGACAAAGAATTGAAAACTTACCAAGCTTTCAACTGTGGGGCTGTGTCTTTCCAAAAGTTGTTTGTTTTCTAATGTCCTACTTGAATGTATGCCTTTTTTCTAATTCTTTACTTGGATTAATATCTTTTTTCTATACTAGCATTTGGTTCTGACACTTCTGCTACCTGTAGAGACATTCACCTTCATAATTCTCAATGCACAATCTACAACAGATTTATTAGGCTATCAAGTTCAAGTGAAGGGTAGGATGATAGAAATATATATATTTATTAAATGTGTCTTTATTAAAATATCATAGAGGTTAGTCACAAATACTAACAAAGGAGTACCAAACTCTGTTGTTCTCAGGATTGGGCCAAAGCTTGGTCTTATAGCTTAGTTGGAATGCTCCTTCTGGGCAATCCTATGTACCTAAAGTTCTCTTATAGTCTCCAGAAACCTTTCTTCTCCCTCCAAACAGTCTTTTCTTGGGGCAGTATTTATCTTTATTTTAGATAAAGGTACAAAATACAAATCTTTCAAAATAGTTATTATGAAATTCAACTTTAAGGTTAAAATTCTTGGTTCACTTAGGCTATAATACTGCATGCCAATAGTTTTGTATTCTGTTCCTTTAGGACTTGCTACC